GTACCAAAAAAAAAAAAAAGTACCAAGTATACCCACCCTCCTTTATCACAGAGGCCAAATATAGGACTATCCTCTAAATATAATAATTTCACTAATTTAGTAAAACTTTGTAAATGTTTGAATCATCAGTTGAATTTATTATGTTGAGCTAAGTCATTTTGATAGGTTTACTTACATTATAGTCAGCTTCAGGAAGTTTGATTCCAGGAAATAAGTCACTAGTTATTCCATTAAATAAGGGTATGTCATGTGATAAGAATTTTGGTTCATTTACATCTTTAATTGATCGAAGAAGCTAAAATCACGAAAAAGGACAATATAAGTTAACTGCCTACATTTATATCTTCATTGCACCCCATTAACTAAAAGTCAGTTTATTTTACATTATTCCACAGAATCCCCCAAATTAAAAACCAATACTATGTGTATCAATTCCAAAGGTCCTTGTATTCATATAAAGTATAATAAGTAACATAACCCAAAACTATAATTTCAACCTCACATAAAAAGACAGAGCAAAAACTCTTTCAATTGCCTATTGTTCTTCATTTATCACTTTAAAAAGCATCTTTCTGGGCTGGGGATTTAGCTCAGTGGTTTTGCCCCCTGCTGCGCAAGCGCAAGGACCCAAGTTCGATCCCCAGTACCAAAAAAAATAATAATTAACAAAATAAAAATCATCTTTCTACTGAAATGTTCACAAATTATATATTTAACGCTTACCAGGATATCCTCATTTTCATTGGGATATTTTAGTTTTAGGTTGCCAGCAGCCACTAAGACTGCTTTTACTGCTCGCATTCCATAGTCGTAATGAAACTGTGATGAGAGCTGCTCTGAGCAAAGTCTATAGGTCATCACTATCTTCACAGAGAGAGGTTTTGCATTCAAAAATCCGTAGGAATAGAGGGAGATTTCTGCTATAAGGGCATAGTTTGGAACCATCATAGCTACTGTTCTAAAAAGAACCTGAAGTATATAAAGTTAAATATGTTATTTACATAAAAGAAGCCATTTTAAAACTAAGCATAAGCATCCAAAGATAATGTTTTGCTATTCAAGTTTATTTCCCAAATGTAACACCTTTTCATAAACTGTGACTTTTTTCAGTACTTAATATTTTTATGCACTTAGTATTTTTTGGATGTCTAAAAAATGTTTTTGGAGGTTTACCTTATATTAAAAGGAAAAGAAATAACAAATACTGTACATTGGGAAAAATCATACTGTTATTTTTAATTGAACTTTTTATTTTCTGAAATAGGACCATTGTACTTTGTGCAAACCATGTCTACTGATGGAATGAATAAGTAAGAAATTATAGTGCTGTACAACACACTAAAAATATCATGAGAGGAAAAAGGTGAGAAATGTCTATATCTATAACCAGGTCCTCAGCAATAATGAACATTCCAAACCATGACATCATTTGATGATGGGAGGTCACAACCCTGTAAGAATAGGCCAATAGCCTTCTGGGTTATGGGAGTAAGTGCCAGCACCTTGTGAAATATGTCATTGCAGCTACCTTACCTTCACCTTTTGGGGGGAATTAAGTTTGCCTTGAGAGTACTTTGGGCCACATGGCCTGATGTCTGCAGAAGGCATTCACTTAGAATCCCCTGCTCCTGGCTCTGTTGGCTAAAAGGTCTTAGATTCTGTGGTGAGAACGAGGGTGAGGAGTTCAGAGTCATACAGGAGCAGTGGCTCTGAGGAGTGGACCGTGTCAGGAAGGAAGCACATTAGATTTTTTGCAGTCTAACAGTTGCAAGTGGAAGGAATTCCCCAGGTTAGTCTGGCTGTTGGTGCTTGGCCAGGCTGGTCTGTGGTAAGGCCCAGCTGGTCCCAACAGCTAACCCATTCCTGTCTTCAGGCCCATCAGAGAAAAGCTAATGATAGTCTTGGTACTGTGGACATCATTATCTTTATCTTCAATTGCGTCAAATCTCCTTGCCTATCTAGAGAGGCACAGGTGGCCCTGGGTGCCTTCTTGTTTCTGTGGATGCATATGTTATAGACTTTTCTTCAGCTGTTTTGGTTGCAACCCCTCATTTCACAAAAAAAGATAAAAATATCCAAATTCATCTCTCACCAAAGCTGGTTTCACAGCAAAGAAAAATGTTACCCTACAGAATCTGGAGGTAAAGCCATCTTGAAATACGTTAAGAGGGGATTAAAATGATTAAAATGAATAACTGATAATTTGAAATAGGAAAAGGTCCAAAGGGGTGGTGGGAGGGGAGGGGGAAAGGAAAAATTATGAGAAAAGAAAAAAAATGGAAATGAAGTCTATGTAAATAGGGAAGGGTGGAGGGGGTGAAGGGCACACAGGTAATGAGGGAAAAAATAAGAACCAAGATACATCATGTACAGGTACAAGCACCCAATGATAAATGTAAACATACTGTATACCTAAAAGGTACCAATAAAAGAATTTAAGGGGAAAAAAACAATAAAAAGGGCTGGGGATGCAGCTCAGTGCAAAGGCCCTGGGTTCAATTCCCATTACCACAAAAAAGCACAGTACAGGGCCAGGGATTTAGCTCAGTGGTTTCGTCACCTGCTGTGCAAACACAAGGACCCGAGTTTGATCCCTGGTACTAAACAAAAAAAAAAGCACAGTATACTCCATAAATATGTACAATTATAATGTATCAACTAAAATTTTCAAAAATTTAAAAAAAATATGTTAAGAGGTTACACACTGAGTTGCTTCCACACTGAGATACAGAACCCAGCTCTCAATAGAACTCACCACCTAGGAGACACGATTGAGACATTTTGGATGAGGTATCTGAAATTCGGGGATATTTTGATTTTTATTGAAGTACAGGAAACAGACTTCTTCAAAAAAAAAAAATAGAAGCTTCACCCTCAGAAATTCTTTAAAAATAGGACCCACAGGTACTTTTCATGGTGTTTGGGAGAAAGATTTACATGTAGCCAAAAAACAAAACAATAAAACCCACAACCTCCATCCCCCCAAACAACACACCGCTCAAAGAAAGTTAAAACTTCAGGGCAGTAAAGAAGGCTTAGGAAAAGATCTAAGGTCTGAGGAGGCTGTATATTAATTAAGAGCAAACCAGGCCTCAGAACTCAACAGTTAGGCTGCTCATCCAAGGGAGCTTCGCCATTGAGAGGAAGCTGTCCCAGTGTGAGCAGGAGTAGGGGAAGAAGATTCAGTTGCTCCTTTCTAGAGTGTGTACAAATCTTTCCAATTCCTTGATGCTTTGTTTCTGGACTCTAAGGCCCAGCCATTAAGGCCTGCTTCTCAGTAGAGACTGACAGCACATCCTGAGAAATGAGACTCAGTCCAAAGCTTGGCTCTGAATGACAGATTATGCAAGAGCAAGTGGGTTTCTGCCAACGACAAACTTGGCGGGGGTGGAGTGCGGGAGAGTCAGCGGGCAGCACGTTTTCATGGACTTGAAATCCAAGCAATTCCCTGTGAGAACTCCCTGTGAGACAGCACCAGGTATACCTGTTGTCTGCTCCCAACTTCCCTAACCCTGTTATTGTCTGAAGGAGACAAGCCTGTAGTGAGTTTGAAAAGCCATTTAGTCTTCAGAGATCCAAGAGAAAGCAGTGATGACAGAGGTGGTGGTGATAATAGGATTGAAGTGCCAGAAAAATCTAAGGGCTTTGTATGCCCATCTGGGCTACTGTGGGCTTAGAAATAGAAATACCTCTGTATTTCCTTGAAGTTCTGTTGAGAGGCTCCAATTCCAAAGAGACTGTGGAAGTCTCTGTGACCAGCTTTGACTCTGTAGTTTACTGCCATTCTACTTTCTCTAAATTGTTCATCAAGTTTTCTATTGGAGACTGTGAGTTCTGATTGTCAGAAGCATCTTAACTTTCAAAACACACCTCCATCCCAGACCATGGAAACAGCTGTTCATTTTCTTAGGTGCAACAATGATATTTGTGATTCTCCAGCCCGGGGGTATTCCTTCCCATCAATCTGTGCGTCTTCTGCCTTGGCTTTGGTGCCATCACTAGGCATGGCTATTTTGGGTTCTGGAGCCAGGCTGGAGCTGCTGCTGCTTTCTTATTTGATGTGTGGCGGGGGGGGGGGGGGGTCTGTTATGGAGCTCTAGTTGCTGTTAGCATCTGGCATGTATGAAGTCTTAAGTTCAGTACCCACTACTGCCAGCTACCAGGTGTCCCTCCACATGTCCTACAGTTCCTCACACTCTTGCCAGCCCATTGAAACCAGAAGGAGCTTCATCCAGTCCTGTGGCCATCGTTTCCCCCAATTCTCACCCTTGCTGCCACAGTGCATATGCAATAATACAACCATGAACTATGTTCTTTTTGATAAACTTATACTCTTAAAAATATTACCTTAAGGTTATCTGGTAATTCAGAACGTCCTGCATAGCCAGGATTCATGGTTATAGCTACAAAACAGTTTGGATTGAGTTTAAGTTCTGTCCCTTCAAAAACAAACACTTCCAACTTCTGTTGAATGGCTCTCTGAATGCAAAGGATCTGTTGAGCTACCACTGACAACACTTCCAACTCAATACGATTAAATTCATCAAAGCAAGCCCAAGCACCGGAAGAAGCCAATCCTTTAAAAAACTAATGACAGAGGGAAGAGAAAGAGGATGAAAAAAGAAATTAAGATGTGTTATGCACATGTACTAACTCCACACAAGGAATGTAAACATTATATACTGCAAACATGTACTAATAAAAAAAAACTAGGGACAAGAAAAAAGTAAATGATTTTTCTTAGAAAGGGACATCACTTCTTAAATCAAATATTTAAACTTTTAAGTCAAAATCAAAAGTTTGACAAAAGCCCCAAGGATGAAAACATCGTCTTTATCCAATTCAAGTAATGCTTAAACCCCAAAAATACTTCTAATCTTTTAAAAGACTTTATTTAAAAAATGATACCATCACTATATACAACCCCAATAATATTTAAACATTAATTTGCTTCAATTTATCCAGTTCGACCTAACTTTGTAACATTTATTAACTCAGTAATTGAACTACCTTTCCCATTGCTAGATAATCTAACCCGTCTGAACAATTGAACACCACACACTGTACAGCAAGAGCTTTGGCCAAGTCCTTTGTAGTTTCAGTTTTTCCTGTGCCTGCTGGCCCTTCTGGAGCACCTCCAAGGTTTAAATAGAAGGCACCTATCTGCAAAGAAAAGAATATAATGAAAAGAAATCTATGATTAACTGGGAAAACACAACACACACACACACACACACACAGGCAACTGCTTACCAAATGGATCTATTCTTATCTGTTAATTCAGAGAAACGACTTGTTACAGTTTGGCTTTGGACTACTCCCCCAGTCTCATGTGTTGAAGCCCTGGAGCCCAGCTTGTGGTGCTATTGGAATGTGGTGAAAACTAGGACAGAGGGCCTAGTAGGAAGAGATGGGTAAACTGCAGGCATGCCTTTGAAGGATAGATATATTTTGTCTTTGGACCCATGGGAGTGTGTGAAATTTAACTTCTTTTAAAAAAATAGGACTAAGGGTTCAAGGCTGTGCCCATGGAAGAACATGGGGAATAAGGGAACTCTATATTTTCTGTTTAATTTGGCTATGAACCTAAAAGTAACCTAGTAAGTCTATATGAAAAATAAACCCTTGAAAATGATAAACATTTTTATGTTTATATTAAAAGCTCAATAGAGACTAAGTAAATAACACCAATAGCAATGATATTTTACCCACCTGAACTTTATAATGGATAATATACTACTAATTGCCCATTAATTTAATTGCTGGAAACCTCAGAAATTGCTCACAAATGTGTTCCCTTTATTATGGATACTAAATATACTAAAATGCAGTTTTTCAGTGCCTAGAGTTGTATTCAAGTGTTTAATTTGATTCCGATTTTATAATTCAAAGTAGTTAACTTCTGCCTTGCAAGTGTATCACAGCTTCTCACTTCACCAAGGTACCAGATATACAGATGTTTGAGTCATCTGCTCAACAAATATTTAGGGATAACTATGTATTTGTTCACTATTAGAGTAGAAAAAAGACAGACATACTCCCTGCCTTCAGGTAGCTTCCTGAAAAAAAATAGAGGGTTTGCTGAAATGTTTTATCAGAGACCTTTTGGTTTCCTACCCAAATACTCTTTACCAGGGCATTGCATTCATCTCTCCATTGTTGTGAGGCTTCACTGCAGCAAATAGCTCAGAGCTCCCCTTTTCTCCTAAGAACTCCCATCAGCTAATAGGAAATACCATATCAGCAAATAACTGGAAGCTTATGCATGCCCCTGTCCAGAGGTGACTAACCAATGACAAGAAAGGGGTACATAAGCCAGATCTCATTGCCTTAAAGCAGGAAAGTTCTGTGATGACATTCATATTCCAAACCTCCCCTGGAGATTGGCAACAGCTATACATAGGCTGAAACCATATCTTTGTTTAGTTTTTTTTTCTCCTGTCCCATTTTGCTGTCCTTGTTTCCTTATAGGTTCTTACTGAAAGTATTTCTTAAGGAACCATTTGCAGGGGAATCCTCCTTTCATCTTTGCTTCTAGAGAACTCAACTGAAGGCCTGGGGATTTAGCTCAGTGGTGCCACCACCTGCCTCACAAGCAGAAGGACCCGAGTTCAATCCCTGGTGCCAAAAAGAAAAAAAAAAAGAGAACTCAGCTGAAGATATTTTAGTTTTATTTACTCAGCATAAGTGGACTGATATTTATTGATGCCCTTCCTCTACTCCCACGTTGGGCTTCCAGACTGAGCAAAAATACAGAATGCCCTAGTGAAATTTAAATTTCAAATAAATA